TATTCAATCTAATACATAAATAGTATCCGAACGTCTTCAATTTCTCTTGCTTCTTCGTTGTGACCTGGTTGTGACTCTTTCCCAACATTCGTTGTCGTCGTCGCTGGCAAAAGGTTATGAGAGTCTCCAGTGAATCCGCCCTGCAGAGGGCGGGGTCAGAATGTCCTTCCGCGTCTCAAGCGAATCTCATTCCTCTGAAGGAGTTGAAGCAGGCATGCACTCAGAACAGAGCCTGGGTATCAGTTGGTGGCATGGCATGTATCCTGGTTTCATCATGCAACCCAGGCTACCCAGCTCACTTTTTACTTTATCACTAGGTGTATGATTTGACTGAGTTTTATACTCGCCACCCTGGAGGACAGGATTTCATATTGTTGGCCGCCGGTAAAGATGTGCGTTCAATCATCGACCAAGATGATCATCTTTTTTCTACAAGGTTCAAATGCAGCTATCAGGTTACCAAGATGTTCGAAACGTATCATAGCCAGAAACAGCATCAGGCTCTGCAGAAATATCAGATTGGGTTGTTAGCTGGACAGGATGTGCCATCATTTCCACCCCAGGATGAGTTCTCTTTGGCTCTCGATAGGCGCGTCGATACGTACTTCAAATCTTGCAAGCTGGATCCGAAACAATCGAAAGGCACTCGCCGAAGATATTTGGTTACCGCAATTGGCATCTGGTTCTTGTATGGGCTGCAATGGCTGCTTCCTGCCGAGTTTTTCTGGACGTTCTATCTCATTTCTGCCGCTCATGGCGCTATGATATCTCAATATTGTCTGACTGCCGTACATGATGGTTCTCATGGTGCCATTGGCCATAATCCAGCACTCTGGAAACTCTTACTCACCGGTCATGATTTCTTCGTTGGGACTTCGAACGTTTTATGGTGTGTCGCCGCCAATATATAGTGATTGAATTTCTCGAACAATTCTTTCGATCAGGACATACCAACATATTATGAGTCACCATATCTTCACGAATGTAGATGGATTCGATGCCGACCTCGATACACAGGACGTCGAATTTCGTCGCATCAAGGAAAGCCAGAAGTACTTCAAGTTCTATCATTTTCAGTCTATCTATGCTCCATTCCTCTATGTATTCCTTGGCTGTGCTGTCCGCTTTGAAGATTTGGTCAACTACTTCACCGGTGTGAGTTTCTTGTAGTCTCAACTGTCGAGGGTCGCCTTTGAACCAAAACAAACATAGCGTCGAGGACCATTGAAGGTGAATCCTTTCACCCCTTCACAACGCGTCATATTCTGGGGTGGCAAAGTGATAGTTCTTATTCCTCTCAACAAATGCACATACTTACTCGAGTTTCCTTAGCTGTTCTTCTTCGCAACTCGCATCTATCTGCCGTTACTCTGGGGGGCCTCCATCTCACGAGTTCTCTCAGCGTTTTTCGTGGCGGAGCAAGTGTTCATTTACATCTCTGCCCCTTCTTCACCTCATATTGCTACACTCACCCCTCAGTTTCACGTTATCCATCATTCTCGCATTGATCTTCCAAGCTACCCACGTTGTCGATACTGCAGCATTTCCTCAGGTGAACCCCAAGACGGGTAATATCGATGTAGATTGGGCACGGCTTCAAGTAGAAACAGCGCAGGACTATGGCCACGACCGAGCGCTCACTACCTTTATTTCAGGCTCCTTGAATTATCAGGTATCATTTTCCTCTTCATTCGATTGGAAGAGTGGACAACTAACTATTGACGCAGGTGGTCCACCATCTCTTCCCATACGTCGCTCAAGAGCATCTTCCAGCAGTTGCAAAGATCGTTCGTGAAACTGCAAAAGAATATGGCGTCAAGTACGAGATTGTATGTCAAAATATTCATCGCGTTGATAAATTCTGATTGGAACAAAAAACACAGAAAGATAGTTTATGGGCTGCCATTGGAGGCCATATCGGACTACTTAGACTGTTGGGAACTCCCCCTCATTCTCACTGATTTGCTAGACGTATTTATGCATATCGTTGTGCACGGATTATTATAGAATTACACTTGTCTTCTCGTAGTAGCACATATTGTCAAAGTTACGATGATCATGTCTCTGGCATCTCTAACTCGTAACCGACTCTATGAAACTCACAAGGCTGCCTTCCGATAGCGATCCCTTCTCCGCTTGTCAGACTCCTGTGAACAGTTCTCCTCTTCTTAGCACCACGTCTGAAGAACGCGGTATCATCGTCGTCTTCGTCCTCTTCATCTGCGTATATCTTCACATATGGCGCTCCCACCTCATCTCGGAAATGCCACCTCCTACATACGCCCTCACCGAACGGATGAGGGAAGAACTCATCGTCTTCGGGCTCCACCTCCTCATCCAAGTCTTCATCAGCCTCAAACTCCATATCGATATCCTCATCTGACATGGCATCCTCTTCCTTGTGACGATGACGACGACGGGTGCCAATGGGATACAAAAAGGGATGATATAATGCACTACGAGGCGTAAGTCGCTCCGTGCACAAAGGACGAAGGAGCCCTTCAACCAGATCGAGGGCGTCGTTGACGTCCTTCTCGTGTTGTTCTTGTGATGGGGCTTTCAATAGTAGTGACACTCCAGGAGTTTCACCGCGTTTCTCCTCTTCATCTTCAAGAGGTGTCAAAGGTGATTGTTCGCCGGATTCAATAGATTTTGGTGGCGACGAAGGGAAAGCTAGAGACGAAGCAGAAGAGAGATTGACGGATTTTGTGTTGATACTTAGGTGGCTAGGCGATGAAGAAGGAGCTGGGGTAGGACGATAGCCATCGCCTTGAGAATTTTCATCGTGCTCGGGATCGTCATATTGGTCTTGTTCAGGAGCATCGAGCTCTTGGATTTGCCGTTGAGCCTGCTCCCTCAGCTGTTTGGTGTACGGGTAGAACCTAACGTCAGGTTCTGGTACTGTATATAGGTCTGGATTTTGTTTTGTCACAAACTCTGACCAGGATATTCCATCGGGTGTGACAGAAGGTACATTAGTAGAGAACGTCCGGCCTACTTTTTCTTAAGAAACGGACTGGACCGAGAAGGAGACGGGTGCTCACTGTGCATACACGCGGCTTTCTCCATATTTCTTCTTCCTATGATTGTCGCGATCTCCATAAGTGCCTCTACATCGTCGTTGGATTGAAACAGTGGAAACTTCTTTGTAAGAAAGAAAAGAAGTATCATTCCTGCAGCCCAAACATCCACAGCTACAACGGACGTTACAATTAGTTCGTTGTACTCTTCTGAGTGAGTATAGTATTACTCTACCTCCAGTTTGGTCTCCGCACTTCAATAAGACCTCCGGTGGGCGGAACCCTCGTGTACCGGCTCGATTTGCTTTTGAGAATGGCCTACAAGCGTGATTCAGTCCATACTTTCTGGAATTATGTGAAGAGATTTTCAAACCTCGTGTCCTTTTCTAGGTATCCAACCTCTTCAGAAGGTTTTGCAGACTTGGCCTTGGCTTCTCGATTCATCTGTTTGTAGTTATTCACATCATATTCACGTCTGCTTTTCGACATCCCATGAGGATACTCCGCTGTTGGTGGGGTATGCAAGCAGAGATTCTGCCCAGAGCCATATTTCATACGCTATAGCGAGTCAGCATCAATGGAGACTTCGGAGGTAGACCAATGTCAGGACTGACACACGCGAGCCCAAAATCACACAATGTCCCAATACCCGTTCGAGGATCGAAGAGGAAGTTCGCCGGTTTTACATCACGATGAATGATACGACGAGCATGGATGTCACGAAGAGCTCGGAGCAGACACCGCATGTAAGACTTGATGCCCTCCATGGGTAGCGCTGCAAAGTAGTCCTATTGAAGATTGACAGTCTAGATCATCTGAATGAGCATGACTGAGCGAACTTACCCGGAAATCATCGTTCTTCTGATATGGCATGATCACCACGACCTGGTCCTGCTCCCTGAACGCCGTGATCAGCTGTGATACGTGTCTGCAAGACCTGCATACATCCAGAATGGAGATTTCATTCCGGATTCTCTCAGGGCTACTCGTGACATAGATGCGTTTGATAGCGACGTAGACTTTGGATCCTGGAGGTCGAGGAGCTGATTGATAATATGCGGAAGATGAAGTGTGATGATGACCATGCCATGGAACATTGAACCATTTATCGTGATAGTAGAGATCCAAAGCTTTGTACACGGATGAAAATGTCCCAGTCCCGAGACGGTCGAGTAGTTTGTAGTTGGCCGAGAGTTGAGGTACTGCCTCCTCGAGGTCTTCTATTTCTGCCATGATCTCCTCTTGTTCTTCGGGCGATTTCTTCGATAGGCTGTTCTCTTCATCGTCGGAGGAACTTTCCGACATCGCTTCTTCGTCCGCATCTTCTTCATCGTCAGGTAAACCCTCGATTTCCGCCTCTACTTCTTTCTCCTCCTCTCGATTATCGTCTGTCTCCATCTTGTCGGTCTCTTTTCTAAGCTTCTTCCTAGTGATAGTCTTATCCCATCTCGGTAGCTCGAGCTCGTCTGTTCCAGGTTCGTCGTCATCGTCGTCCAAGTCTATGAAATTTGGGGCAGTCTTTCTCGATTTCAACGGACCGAGACCGTAAGCCTGTTTCTTCACAGAGGCGGCTGCGGCTGGATGCACGGTCTCCAGGTGCTCAACAAACTCCCGCATCCGTGCGTCTGGTCCTCCCAGTGATAATGGATCGTCGGAAGACTGTGCAATCCGGGAATTGGAAAATAGAGATATGTTCTTCTTTCTCGATAACGTATTATCAGAAGAACCACGATCCAAGGGATTTGAAGAGTGTTGAGAGAATGCAGCCATGACCATTACAAGGTATCCCAATACTGAGCATATGAAGAACAATTCGGATAGAAGTCAAAGAGTGGCACAAGCTCAGGCTAAGGCTGGTCAGTGGTGATGGACAAATTGAAAGCCGAAGCGCGTTCGCGTTAATCCTAGTCATGTGCTCGCCAAACAATGATGTCATGCATAGTAGCTGTCCATCACTCAATCAGCTTTTCACTTTAACATGGCTACCTGGCGCAATGGTAGCGCGTTTGGCTTCGATTGCCGAGTTCTACCAAAAGGTTGCAGGTTCGAGTCCTGCGGTGGTCATTACTTTTTATCCTTGATTCTTTTTCTCAAAACTATTTTGTATGCAGTGCGGGTCCAAATCCTACTCGCACTGCGTCGTTGTCTTTCTTTCTTTTCTTAAGTACATACTATGTACTAAAGTAAGGTTTCCTTGAATTGCCTAATCGCTTGCTCCAAGCCATGTTCGAACTCCCAAACCATCTTACTGTTTCCCCTTTCCTTTCTATGCGCTTCCGTTCTCAACCGTTTCCATTGGCCCCAGAATCCAATTTCAGACCCGCCTAGTCCTTCCCCTCCGAAGAAAGAATGTCATACTATCGTTCCAGCCTGGAAACCGAACTCAGTAATGGGGAATACATCCTTAACATCAGTATAAAAACTACCTTGCTTGAACCCTTCTTCGAAACGCCAATGTTCAAACTCGTTCGGATTGGAGGAATGTTGACTCCACCACGCGACATGGGCCTGCATCGCTTCCTGATGCTTCATCTGACCTTGTGCTTCCAGCGATTGAAACGAATGTTTCCCTTCTGTGAACGTAGCTTTAAACCTATCTGCCTGTGCAAGTATAACACCTTGCTCGACAGCTGTATAGTAGCACCACCCACGATCCGGTCCTCCTTCTTTCTTGAATGTCCAAAAGAACGAACCAGCGCAATGTTTGTCGTAAGCCTCCCACTGGGCATGACCCCATTCACGCTGAGCTGCAAGTTTGGAACTATGATCTGGATAAGAAGAAAGCGAAGCAGGGTTAAGAGCTGCGCTCCATTCGCCGATGACAAGAGACCCTTGGGTTTCCTTCGATGCGTTGGCAAGCATCGACGCGGAAGGCCCATTGTTGGATGGATGAACTTCGTTGGCGTGCTGAGAAGCGGATTTACTTTGGTCTTGATTCGTAAAGCATCTGTATAGATGGTGGTCCAAGACCAGGAATGACGCGGGATTTGAGTGATTGTTGACATATTTTGCTAGAGTTTCATAGATGAATAGAAGAACGTAAAACTCGAACTTATACTTACAGTACCAGTTTGTGTCCCAAGCATCAGAGATGTAGATGGGGAGATCCTGGGCATCGTTACCTAGACCCGCACGAATCGCCCCAATAGCTTCATCGTACCAGCTCATCAACCGATTGTTATTCTTCGGTTCATTGAGCAACTCCAACCCCACGACATTATCATACTTCACAATCTCCTGAGCCATAGCCACAAGGATCTGCACTGTCCGCTTCTGATACTCCTTCGAGTCCCACAAACCAGCTTTGCCACCACTCAAACCCGAGTGACTATCGGTATTCTGAGCTCCAGGAGCAGCATGGAGGTCGATCAAAACACCGATGTGGAACTCACGCGCAGCCTGGATAGCATTAGAAACGACGTATTTCCAGGCATTCGTGTAGATCTCTGCGAATGGTTCGAATTCCGTACCGTGCATCAGTCGACGAATCTCTGGATCGGGATGGCCTGGCAGGAAGTGATAGTACGAGACGGGGATACGAACGGTGTTGATTCCATGCTGGACCAACCACCTCCAGTCTCCTGCGTCGATGAAATGTGCCCAGTGATTTTCCAGCATGGACTTTGCGCCCTGGGGACCCAAACCTCGTAGCACGTCCATTTCACTCGATTTGGGATCGGCGGCTTGTTGAAAGAGGCTAGGTGTCAGCCAGTTCTCTAATGTAAACCAGGATCCAAGATTGACGCCATGCTGTTTGCGGAAGCGGTATATTTGACGAGGCGTTGGTGGTTGAACCAACGCAGGGATGTTGAAAGGCGCATTGACCTCACCATCACGTTTATCCAATACTCTTACGATCTTCGATTGGAGTTTTTGCATGAACTTGGAACAGGTCAACGCGTCTGCAAGGAAGACACACCGACATTACTGACTTTGCTCATCGTAGTCAAGAGTCAAGAGCAGGCGAATGACATCATAATTGAAGAACGTTACGTTCAACTGCAAAGCTAACCAAGAAATGCGATTAAATCTAGTGATACAATGCGAATTTTAACACAAGCTATGTGAGTGGGGTGGTTGAACGAGCACTACGCAGACGAACAGACGCTACTACATATATATGGTTGGGTGGGGTACGGAAATAATGTCAAAAGGAATAACAATAACAGTAGTAGAGTAAATAACAGAACGATGGCGATGCGTGAGGAAAGAGAACAAGACAGGCGGAACAGACCGACAGACAGATGTAGGTGTATAAACTCTACCTTCCTCCTAACATACCCAGATCTATGCAGCACATGCGCAAAACCTATTCTACCGTCCTATGCTTTCAATCCAACCATAGGCGAAGACGGCAACGGCGGATGCCTAGACTGTGGTGAACGTCCTTTTGGTCCAGGCTTATGCACAGGTCTTCCCCTTCCTCGTCTCGCTGACCCTGACGATGAGCCCGTAGATCCAGTCGACGTCGATGATACAGAAGAATTGGGCACAGACACTGCAGACGACCCGGAACTTGTTGTACTTGATATCGATGTCATGGATGCGATAGACCCATTTGACATGGACATTGGGTGATTTCGCACCTTTGCAATGATTGGAGGCGAGGAAGACATGAGGGAAGAGAAGGATGAATTGAGAGAGCCGGGCGAGTTGTAGTTGACGTGGGCACTATGCCCATTGATACGATTGATGTTTGGTCTGTTACTGTTGGTAGATAACGAGGAAGACGTATCGTCGTCATCATCCCTCCCATAATAAACCTCATCAAACCTGTCTGAATCTTCCCTTGTGGATCTTGCCTTGTCGTTAGGCACCGCGATAGGCTGGGAAGACGATATTGGGAAAGTGGGTGAGGACATCGGAGACAACACCGATGACGAAGAGGAAGCATAAGGTGCTGTCGATATCGGCGAGGGACTCTTCTCTGACGTCCCTGGGGCGGCACTGTGACTTCTCCTCCTCCCTGCAGCGACACTCCTCACTACCCTTGGTCCGAACACGGGTGGTGATCCACTTGTTGCTGACATGGATGACCAAGACATCATATCTCGTTCCCGACCCTTCTCATCCATACTAACCAACGACCCGATACTCCCGTTCCCATTCATCATCATCGTCATCGTGCGCTGGGGCTTAAGAGTCTCTTCTGAGTTCAGCGGAGTACCAACACCGACGCCAACGCCAACACCGACAGGATAACCATTCGTCATCCGCTTCGCGCTCCCGTTGACGGTTTGACCATTGGCCATGCTCATACTCATATCCATCGCCTGAGGATACGGTGAGCCACCGTGTGCCAAACCAGCGTGTACGATGCCTGAGATCACTGCACGTTCGTAATAGAGCATAAAAGCCCCCGAGCCTTCCTGTAACACACTCTCAATTCCCACCTCCGTCACAGCATCATCCGAGACTCGAAGCCACCCTCTGCCCGTTCCAGCAGCAGTAGACGGGTCTGCGTCGTCCCATATATATTCTTCAAACCCCTCAGCATCTTCACCCTCCGCCTGGGTGTCTTCAGCACCTGGTTCGCGTTTGATTGGACTAGAAGCACTAGCTTCATCTAGAACCTCTATAACAAGCCTCGGCGGATGCCACTTGTCCTCTAGTTTGCCTGAACTATTCTTGGGTTTCCGGCGATAGCAGATGTAGTGGCCAAACGAGTGTTGGCCAAAGTGACATACGACAGCAGATAATCGATAGATGGTACGGGATGATGAGTCGCGAGGTTCGGGTGTAGGTGTCGTCGAGCGTTTAGGGTGAGGTGGTGGAGTAGAAAGTGATGATGTTGGGACAGTGGAGAGATTGCCTGAAGTGGTGTATTGCGTGAGATCAAGAACTTCTGGAAAGATAACGCGGATGTTATTCTTGGATGCGTAATGCGAAAAGTGCATGGAACGATTGATATGAAGGACAAGAACAGGTGGTGGCTGTTTTGACTCAATGAGCATGATACATCCGTTAGTCAGAGCGACACATACCCTTGCGATCATAGCCTGTTTCGTAGACAGACTGATGACCTTCTCCATCCGTACATCCTTCAGTTCGTCCTCAACCCTACCTTCATCGAGCGCAGATTTGACTTTCGCAGCCATCTTTTTTACGTCCTTCAACCTTCGCTTCTTCGAGGCAGATGGGTTTTCGACTTGTGAGAGCGTTTGAATCTCCTGCGTCAGCCTCTGATGTGTAGCCGTCATGGAACATTTCCGGCATATACAATCCTTCAGAACTTCCAGTCGGGTGTAGTCGGAAAGACAATCCTCCAACAAACATGTGGACTGGAACAAGAGATGAGTTAAATGATAAGGATAAATGAAGTTCCGGTTGAAAACGCACCGTCATTGGTGGTACCGCTAGCTGCCAATTATCGAACGGAAAATGCATGACGGCTTCGGTGTAGCCACAGACAACGCAGCTCCTTCGATTTGCAGTCAATCCATCGAATACACTCTTTCCAATCTTCGTTTCGACCTCTTGCGAAAGGTCACCGAGACCTCGATCTCTAGCACCTTCTTTATCTATAGCAGCAATTTCGGATTTAATGCATTCCGACAGGAGTTGGAAGAGTTCCTGCGCATCTTGATGCTCCCTAGAGCTGAATAATGAGTTGGCACGACCTGCTGAAGAGAGTACGGATATGAGTTCTAAAGGGCGAATGGAGGAAGGTCTTGAGCGTGGGTCATTTAATGCGTGTATTAGGTCTCGGAGAGCGTCGATCACAGGGGTAGGGACATCTAAGGCTTCAGCTTTGGCGTGTATAGATTCGATATGAGGTTGAAGGTATGCCAGAGAAGATAGTGCCTGATAAATCTTCAGTAATGTGTGTTGCCACAATGGATACTTCGTCGTACCTGCACAGTGGAGTTCATGAAGCAATATGTGCCCGAGATGTTGACAAGCCCAGGATAACATACAGCGCAAGCATCCTGGCCTACTTGATACATTATTATCTCGATGTGTTTCTCGAGTTAACTAAATCAACTGACCTGGTTCCAGCTCGAATTTCTCTGACTTAACAGCCCTCTTCTTGCCCTTCTTTTTCGTGGTGTGATTGTTGGACG